AGAGTGACACATTTTCATCCTTCCCGTGGGCTGCACGCTGTGCACACGGGCCCTCTAGAAAAACCTTTGCTAATGGGGAACCAGACTCAGATTGCTGTTCTGGGGAGGTCACTCATCTTTCCTGCAAGCCAACACTGGAGGGAGCATCACCCCTGGTTCAGGTCCCCAAGCAGGCCCTGGTAACAGATGCAGAATCGTGCTGGCACAGGGACCCACATGGCCTTGGCTGTGTACTCCCCGCAGCCCCGTCCGGGGAAAACACTGATTCCCTCCTGTCAGTACAGAAATCCCAAATGCCACAGTGACAAGACTCTGCTTTCTTGAAGAAAACTGTATGTGAACCAGAACTTTATTGATAAACTCTCCTGATAAAAATTAAAGGAATTCCAATACAATAAAGCCCAACTAGCAGTTAGTGCCGTTTTGAAAAACAGACATTGGCCTCTGCATGCCAGTGTCTAGACTGCTAGCTTTAAACTCTGGCTTACTACTTGTGTGACCTTGGGCAAGGTATTCAATTCTTTCTGCTTCCATTTCCTTGTCCTTTCAAAGATTATAGAAATTAATGTGTGTGAAGCACTTTGAATGATGTTAGGCAAGTAACTAACACTATATAATGTGAGCTACTGCTATTATCAGGTATTTTATCATTAACAGAAAAATAACATTTTAAAAAAGAACTAAGTATTAATTGCAAAAGCAACCCTAAGAATTATGCTCATCCCACACTTTCCTGGACAATCTTATAAGTATTTTTAGGTCCTTTATCACCATAAATTTATCAATAAAGAGAGTTCATCAATCAAGTTCTGGTTCACATATGATTTTCTCCAAGAAAGTTTATGTCATTCATTTGAGACATTCTCTCCACATATAAGGATCCCATTTGTTTGCTATCTACATTTAAAATAATAGGAGAAAATGATATTCATTGGTTTTAAAGCCTTAAAAAAAAGAAGAAAATCATATTCATGTGACACAATCTCAACAAAGTAGTTTTAAGAAGCACCTGAGAGCTGAAGAGTTGGGCCTTTGATTCCAGAGACCTATTTTAACTACAACTCCCTATGAAAGTGATTCGTCAGCGAGGAGGCTGATGCCCCAGGAATCATTCCACACTTCCAAAGCTGAAGTCGAACATAGTTGCTGTGAAGAATTCCTTTAACCCGAGGACAGAAATTGTCTCAGAAAAGGCCAATATTTATTGTTATTAACCTTTTCAATTAGTTTTGTCAGTGTTCCAGTTGTCACGGATATCTGCCCAGTCCACTCTACCAGTATGGGGGACCTCTGATGGGTCAGTTGGGGTTCCGGTTGCTCACCCTCCTCAACCTCTCCTTAGCAAAGTATCTTCTTCCATGGCACTGAACCAATTCCTCCACTTAAATTATTTAGTGAAATATCTGTAGAGAATATGCTTTGGTATCTCAATATTAGCACAGAGTCACCTAATTACAGATACAAGGGGTAAGAGTGGGAGTTTCTCATAAGATCCCAGAGATATAAAAAATACATAAAGCAACTCTCAAATATCCTTTTCTTAAAAAAATCTTTTCCACTATATCTTTCATGCTCCAAGAGGAGACAATCTATCACTATCTTAACAAGCTCCTGCGTGTTCTCCCTGCTGACAACAGAGCCCTCATTGCTGCTTGCAAGAACCCATGGCAGGCAGAGAATACCTTTGGAAGGTGCCCTTTCTCCTTCAAAATGCTAATTTTTCAACAACTAATAATTTCTATATTTGTCCAAGATATAAGAAAAAAAAAGCTCATGGAATATGGGAAAAACAAATTTTGACTTTTTAAAGAGCAGCTCAGTTAGTAGAGAAGAGCACGTGACCATCTGAGAGGAGAAGCACTCTCTACTCTTTGGCATATACTTCATGCCCCAGCTTCACCACCGATTAGGACAGGGACACATCAAGTAGTTCCACAGGCAGGACAGCGGGTGGGCTGTGGCGCCTGGTTTGTTATTTTTAGACTTAAGTAAGTCTAAAGGCAGGTTGGATGAGGTGAGCGTGGAGGTAAAGCTCCAGGCCTTCTAGACCATCTCAGAGCTGGGACAAAAGGGAGGAAACGTACAAGCCCATTCCTCACTTGAATCACGAGGATTCTGGGGCCGGGTCAAAGAGCTTATACTAGATGTCATACAAATAGTATGATATGGACAGCCCAATGAACAGTGGTTCATTGTCAGGGCAGACGGATGGACCAGAGTACAGGATTAGAGCTCAGCAGCTCCTCATCCTTTTCCTGGCTTCTTCACCAACTATTTCTTTTAAACCTTAGAGAATCCCTTCGTTTTCCTGGGCCTGCTGTCCCTTCTCTCCGAGGTGATCATCCCAACGGCTCTCTCAGGTCCTGTCTAACTTTCACTGTCTTTGATTTTATGAAACAAGACTTTTCAAAACTATTGGACCTGGCAATGCCAAGGTCACTTTGCCAGAATTGTCCACTATTCTCAGCACCACAGTGGGAGGTCTTATTCATCCAGAGATTTGAGACCCCCGGCCCTGATTCCACGCCGTTTCCTCCCTTAGCGCTACGTTGGAAAGTGGCTGTGGGCGGAGTTCCACCACTAAGGAGAAGTTCCCTCCTTGAATGAAGATGTTCAAAGAAGCAGCAGCAAACAGGGACTAAAATTAGCTGCGTGGCCCACCCTCGCTTCAAGGGTGAACGGAAAAGTCATCATTACTCAAGTCACCCTGAAGTCTGTGTGCACTTGACTTTTTTCTAGATGTCCCTTGTTAAATGTGAGACTATCTACCTGGGGCTATAAAGTTTTACTTATACTTATTCTGGCTATTTAATTTTTCCCCAGATCCCCCTTTGGCAGGAAAGACTGTGTAAAAATGGGTGGCTCTTGGGAGTAAATCTCTTCTGTCTGCTCAAAGGGCTCTTCCCCATAACGACTGTTTTCCTAAGTTATAAAACAGCGGGGGCAGAGAAAACTGTATACACAGACAGGCCGTTACAATCACACAGACGTATTTTTCCCCTGTGACTGCCAATTCTTGAAAGTCAGAGCAGCCCCTGTCTGTTTTCTGAAGCCCAACCATCTTGGTATTTCTCTGAATGCTACAGGAAATGCTGGCAGGGAGGCAAGCCCCGGCCTTTTTCTGCATGACAAAATACCAGAAGGAGAAGGGATAAGTGGGGGTCACCTGGTTCACACTTCTTCCTCGGGCAGGTCCGCGTTTGAACCATCCAAGAGGAGGCTGTTGCTTCTATTTCTAAACATTGAGCTTCTACAGCCTCCCGAATGAGCCTTTGCTAAGTCGAGTTACCCTCCAAGTCGACTTCTTGCAACTAAAGACTGCCTTCCTGGAGCCCCGCACCTTGCTATAATGTAAGCCTGCTTCCTCTTTGGTCCTCTGTGGAAAGCAAAGGCACGTCAGAGTGTACGTTCTGTTTAATGCCAGGTCACGGTTAGTCTTTGCTTTGCCACTCTGACTCGGGAAGCCTAGAAAGTGCCCGTGGTGGGGCCCTGGAACCCTGAGGCCCTGTGCCTGAGGCCTGATTCTCACATATAAAGAGGAAAAGGGGGAGGGTACCGAGGCCCAGAGTTTTCCAAGTCTGGACATGGCCAGAAAAGCCTTGCTGGGCTAAAAAAGAAAAAGCTGAGAGGGCCCTCTGGGGAAGCCAGGGGACCTGGACATGGAACACCAAGTAATGGGGGCCGCCCTGGGTGGGCATAGTGGCTCTCTGCGGAGCACCACCCACTCTGGGGCATTGGGAAAGTGTAGGCAGCACAGGGAACGGTTCTAGCAGGTGACGGAGATGCTACGAGGCTGTGGCCAGGACCACAGGGAGTCTGCTACAAGCTGCAGTGATCACAGGACAGTCAGTAAAGAGGTACCTTACAGCCTCCACAGGGACCACCACGCCAAGAAGGTCATCTGGAGGAGCAGCCAGAGATGCCAGCACGGATGCCCCATCCAGGGTTACTAACATTCCCGACCTCATTCTCCACACCAGACACACAGCATCATTTCATCTGATCTTATAAAGAAGCTCTCATCATCATTCCCATTTTGCAGGAGAGCTAAACAGAGGTTCGGATCTGTAACTCAGGAAAGCCTTAAGGACTCCACCTGCTGTCCCTGCAACCCCAATTCTTAACCATTCCATTTTAGGACCTGACCTTCCTGCATCGCAGCTTCTGGGGACAGTAGGAAGCCTTGTTTTTCAATATCCCTTACTCCAAGAAGAGAGAAAATTAATTTCCCACCAGGGACCTGATATAGTCTAGAGGCATTTGGGTGCTGGGCGGGGATGGCAGTCAGCTCCCCAGACCTGGAACTGCAGCCCAGCCTCAGATCCTGGGGAAGGGTGTGGCTCTGGAAAGAGTATTACTCTTGTGTTTATTCAAAGATAGTCATTAAGTCACTGTGAAGACATCTTTTCTGCAGACTAAACAACCACCATTCCTTTTTTAAAAGCTTTCCTCACCGTGGCTATTTTTTGGTACCCTCTTTCTATATTTGCCAGTTTTCCCCAGGCATCCTTCTACCCTCCCGTTCTCTGTCTTAGTCCTGTCATAAGATTTTGATCTGCACCACAGAAAGAAAGGGTCATTTTCATAGATTTCATCTGTAGCCTTAACGAAGTAATCAAAGGCCAGCAAGGATGGCAATCAGACCTTTGTGGTCCACTCTGACCCTGGGAACTTTGTTGGCTGCCCTGGTGTTTGGCCAATCTCCCATTTACTATATTTTCCTGATCCTGTTGAACTTTACTATGTGTTTGAGGGACTGGTGCTTAGTCTCACGCAGCCCTGGAATGGTTCTAACATGCACTTGAGTCATCCTTTTCCTCTGCCCTCGAAGAGGATGCTTTAAAAAGTACTGCTGCTCATCCACAACCTTGCAGGAGTGTGGACAATGAAATTTTATTTTGCCCTGCATGGCCTGACATTCCCCTGCAAAAGAGAGGCTTAGTTCTAGGATTCTGAGACACTGTCCCTGAGTGTCCCAGCCCCAAGGGGCCCACACTTACTTCGAGGTTCTCGGGGTCCATCCACTGTAATTTTGATGGCTCTGTGGTAGGTGGCGACTTGGGGAGGGTTCGTGAAGACGGTGATGGTCAGAGTGAAGCTTTTCCCTGTCAATACACAAAAGAGAACACAAAAGACTGAAGCAAGAGGCCTGAGCATGTCTGCTGGGCAAGGGTTCATTCATTCATGGAGCCTAGCCCCCACTGGAGCGATGGCAGTATTTCAGCACCAGTCACTGGCTGTCCCAATACTCCTTTGAGTTTGGCTTTGCTTGAATTGCGCACACTGATACTATTTGCCTAGGTGTGACACTTCACATGGTTATATGGATTTAATTTAATCTCACATAAATAGCATGGGATCGAGAAAGAAGAGCATTTATTTTCCATCATGTCAAGACTCCAAGGAACCATTGAGTCAGGTTGGCGGCTCTCTGATCCCAGCCCCAAGGGCCCCACCATCCTCCCCAATCTTTTATAACTCAGGGCAAAGAGGAGTAAAAGAAACTATATCCATCTTTTCCCTCTAACTTAGTACCTCTGAGGATTAGGAAAGATAGAATCTCTAAGTTGAGGCAGGGTGAAATTAGAATTATTAGAATTATTAGTAATTCTAATAATTAGAATAATTATTATTAATTCTAATAATTCTAATTTCACCTAGCCTCAAATTTAGAAATTCCATCTTTAGAATAATTGGAATTATTCTTTCTGTATTTTTAAAATACTAATTCTAGATGATTTTAAATGTTACTTGAAAATGCCAGATGTTATTGGAGGCGCTCATGGGATTGTAAGGTCAATAAGTGGACTTCAGGATATGTAAGTAACAAACTGAGATTCACCAAGTATATTAATAAAAATAAGCCTGTAAGTTCCACGTAAACATTTACATATCTTACAAAAGGTAAGAGCATCTTCATTGCATAAGTTTAATAATTTGAAAACATTTCTTCTTGGCCAAGAGGCTCACAGGACGGACTCTGGGTTTGAATTCTGGTGGGCTGACCTTTGGCAAGTCAATGGACTTCTCTGTGCCTCAGTGTGCTTACCTGAAAGATGGGCACATGGAACACTTCCTGCCTCAGGGAGTTTCAGGGAGATTAAATTAGTTAAAATCATGGAAATAGTATCTAACACACGGTATTCAAGAGGGTGTGTGTGCAGTGTGTGTGTGTGGAGTGCATCCCGCTTGCTACATGGTTTCTCTTCTGTGTTTCCCATGGCTATAACAGGACCCTAACGTCCGGCTAAGTAACATAGTCATTCTTCAATTAGCATGGTTCCTCCTCCGAATCAGGTAGCATGAAACAAAGCCAAAAATACAGGCAAACAGAGCAGGCCCACCCACTCCTTTTGAGAATTTAAATCTCAAATTATCTCTCTTCCCTAAGTTAGAAAGAGTAGAATATTGTCAATAACCACAGTTTCCATATCAAGGCAGACCATGGAAAAGTGCTGGATGAAAATACAACCTTGGGCCACCACAAGGCACTACCCCTGACCATGAAAAGCCTCCACCAGCCCTTCCCCAAGGCTTTGTAGTTTGGCCATGTTAGAGGCAATAATAAAAAGAGCAATAGTGGGTAAGGACAGATGGCACCTGCTCTGCTTGGTGTGGCTCTATAAACAGAGTCTCAGCAGACTCAACGCAGGAGGCAAGGGGGCTTTCTGGGGAGTGGTGTTCCACAGAGCAGAGGACCACAGCACCAGGTGGCCCCATGCCCAGATCCATCTTCCCCATCAGCTGGCCTTCTCCATCTCTAGACAGACTTTAGATGTTATTATATCAGGTGATACCCCAAGAGCAGAAGAGGCCCTGGTCAGGTCCAGGGAGAAGGGCATGTGATGCAGGAGAAGGGGTCCCAGGCAACCACCCATGTCCCTGCTCAGTCTCTGGCTTTCCAAGAACAGATCAAAGACCAGTGGTACCATTGCCCTGGACCAGCAGCCTCCTCCGTCCTGGCTGGCAAACCATCCTATAAGCCTCACCATCAGTCAGTCTGTCCCCTCTCTGTCAAGACCCCTGAGGGTTATTACCGGTACCTAGAGTCACACCCCACTCCCGCCCTTTCCTCCCCCACTTGATTCCTGACCTTGTTCTCTGAGTTCCCCCTACAGGCCAGAGCACTGTGACTCTGGGGTCTTTTTTCCTCCAGCCACCTGGCCAGTACCAGGTCTCCCGCTACACGCCTTGCCCAAGTCCTCCTGCCTTCAGTGTCCCAGGCAGGCACCCATTTTCAGGCAGCCTTCCTAGATGACGACAGGGTGCTTTGTGGCTGTCAGGGCTGCCCCCTAATTCATTCTTGGCCTTTGAGTGATGAGGAGGTCAGATTGAACAGGGTTTGTGGCTGCACCCTGAGCTCTCCAAGGACAGGGATCCTGTTCTGTACCACCATGTGCCCCTTACAGAAAGGTGGGGATGGGGGGGGGGGCTTCAGGCTAGAGTGGGAATTAAAATGAAATGCACCAGCAATGTAGAATGCCCCTGTCCCAGAACTGAGAAGGTCTGGGGGCGGCAGGAGGTGTGTATGTCTGAGAGAAAGACAGAGACAGAGTTAGAAGTTTGGGGATTTTGTACAAATGATTTTGCTTTGCCAGATCTCAGTTTACTGTCTGCAAACTAAGAGAGCTTGTAGGATGCCCATAATGTCACTTCCATCCCCTGATTTTTACCTTCTGAGAACATGGCCAGCAGCGAGTGCAAGTGTATGGACCCATGTAGGTGTATGTGCCTGTGTGGGTGTGTGCCTGCATAGGCGAGTGTCCCCCGTGGGTGTGTGTCCTGGTGTAGGTGTGTGGCCCCTCATAGGTGTGAACCCATGTGGGTGTTGGTCCCTGTGTGGGTGTGGCCCCTCATAGGTGTGAGTCCCTGCATAGGTGTGGGTCTCTGTAGGTGTGTGTCCCTGTAGGTGTGAGTCCCCGAGTAGGTGTGTGTCCCTATGTGGGTGTGTGTCCCTGTAGGTGTGAGTCCCTGAGTAGGTGTGTGTTCCTATAGGTGTTTGTCCCCAGGTAGGTGTGTGTTCCCATGTGGGTGTGTGTCCCAGTAAGTGTGAGTCCCCGAGTAGGTGTGTGTCCCTGTAGGTGTGTGTTCCTGTAGGTGTGTGTCCCTGTAGGTGTTTGTCCCTGTAGGTGTGTGTCCCTGTAGGTATGTGTCCCTGTAGGTGTGTGTCCCTGTAGGTATGTGTCCCCATGTGGATGTGTGTCCCTATAGGTGTGAGTCCCTGTAGGTGTG